TCCATTGTTTGCCTCTGTGCTGTTATCCAATATCTTAGTTTTTATTTTTTAAGCTGAGATTGTATGGAGAGCCAGGGTTTCACTCAGGCCACTACACTAACATGAACCGATGTGAGCATGAGTAGACGCTAGACACTTTGACAATTTCCACAGCATTTTGTAATTCACCCTGCGTGTGAAGGGGAAATTGTACGACACGGAATTAAAAAAAAAAAAAAAGGAAAAAACTAAAACAAACAAAAGCGCTCAGGTGTAATTTTCTATCTGAAGTTGGAGCCTGGGAAACTATTCTGCCAGGCTGCTCATCAGACACAGACTCCGGGTGGCTGACAGCAGCGAACAGAGGTAAACGTCAATTAAGACGTTACAGTAGATGACAGGCCAAAAGAAAACAGTGCTGAGAGATGCCATCTGGGGCAGACTGTGTAAATTGAAGGTGTCTGAACACGATGCTTCAGATAAGGCTAAAATGTTAGCAGCTTTAGACATGTCAGGTTAACATGAAGAGGCATGAGGAAGACTTTAGGTAGCTGGTGTTCCTGCGGGCTATCTATTTAGGATTTATATGTATTTCTGTATTTTCTCTTAACATTGATGATTTTAGAAAATGAAACGATCTTGGACTAAAACTTTGGCACATATAATGAATGTGTTTCATGTGGCCAACATACAGGCTCAGAAGTGTTTTCTTGCAGCCTTGTACTATAGTTAGCTTTAATGCTAAATAATGCCACTTGAATGACATTTCTAGTCAGGCAGTTTGAGCTCTTCTTCTAGCAGCAGGTTTTTTGACTGAGGGCCTTTTTATACTACTCTTATTTCTGTCTTTAATGTATTGTTTTGTCCAATTAGGGAGCTCCGAGTCCAAAGTGACTTGGAGACACCACAAACATTTACATTTTAGTCCTGACCTATAATGGTTGATTAGGGTGTCAGTGAAATATACAGCAAGCCAACAGGTTTTTAACCAATATGTTTCCTCTGTCAAATAAATTCACGAGTCTCTCCTGGTGGATCATTTCTCCCCCTCCTCTATTTCAAGGTCCATGAGAGCCGTGCTACTGATCTTTTCCAGCATGCTTAATGTGTAGAAATTGATTTGGAGAGAAAACATCTCAGATGTGTGTTTTGTTTTCATCTTCTTTAATAGAACTTCAGAGAGCAGGAAGTGTGTGCGTCATGAAATTCGCCCTGGTTATCTGCTTTCACACGCTCTGGCCAGCCGCCTGCCCTCAAACAGCACCGAGCCCCCACTGTGAGGGGGGGCTGATACACAACTTACGGACATTCATACACATACACATGGAAATCCACACGAAAGATGCACAGCATGTTGCAAACATACATGCAGCAGACAGCAGCAATGAACAAGTTTGCACGTCGTTGTGCGTCTATTCTCAAGCAAGCCGACATAAATGAACACCAGCAAGTCAATATTTTCACACATAGCACGTTTTTAAATCAAAGCCAGAGGTAAAGACATATGCATTTTTTTCATTTTGCAGTGTGCAAACAAATGTGAATCTTGTTGCAGTGAATCTTTAAAGCCAATTGTAGTTTATCTTGCTTCATTTTGCTGGAAAAAGCCGACCAGATCAGATGCATTTGAAGTTACTCTGAGGGTTTTAAGAGTTGAGCTGAGATGGACGGTCATGCGTCTTGTTATGGAGAAACTTCTCCTCGGGCCTTAGGTGAGGGTGAGAATGTGTGAGGTCACACCATGTGACCTTTAGCTGAAGCCGCTGGGTGCCATTGGTCCAGAGCCAAACCCCCCCCCCCAAACCATGAACCTCCCACCTCCCCCAGACACACAGCAGCCCTCTCTGCTGCCTGACCAGTGCACTTATGGGCAAAGTGCAGAGACTAGTTGTGTGTTTGTAGGTCGACTGTCTGTCTTCCATGTAGCTATTATCATACATTTATTCTGGCACACATACAAGAGGAGGTTTGTCCCTTCTGCCATAGCTGCCCTAAAAAAATACCTTGCTGAATAGTATGTGTGTGTCTATATGTTACAAGTACACATGCATATTGTGTGTGTGGATACAAGAGAGGTGTATGTGTGTGTAATGTGAGAATTATTACGCATTATATTATGTTTCCATATTTGTGTGTTTTTTCTTGAGACATGAGCATTTGCAGATCATGAAAAACTAATTTAATAATAAGGACTATCAGTCTTATAGATACCAATTTGGCTTTCACAACCTAAATTTAACCGAATCCCCTCTTTCAAGTCCACCTCATGTTCTTAAATGAGTTTTGAAAGCTGCTTGGTTTCAGCACCAGAGTCCAGCTGTGATTTTAATTTGAGCATTTGTTGCATCACTGCCCACTTCAAAAATAAACTATTGATCAGAACCGCCCTGCATGCTCTGGAACATCTGAAATCTGTGTTCATTCCCTTAACCCCATAACCCACAGCTCCCACACGTAATACATCTGATCAGATAAAAACACAATGTAAAACCGCACTCATCTAAATAGAAAGCAGCTGAAAAGAAAGAAATGCTTAATTTGCACACATGCAAAAACAAAACAACCCCAAAAAGCTTTAATTTGCCTATAAATGTAGCTACTAACAGAAATGAATATCCACTTCTAAATTCTACAATTATATTTGAAGCTTAAATAGTTGCCATGTATAAATAACGGTGCAATATGTAATAAATAACTGTGCTAAATGGTGCACTATTCTTTCTTTTTATTAAAAAAAAAAAAAGGTAAATTCACTCAGAAATATCAAGTTGATATTCTTTATTTTTTCGGTTGAAATGTCAAAATGTTTTCAGATAACTGCACTATCTGAGTCCCGGGCTTCATTAGCGGGTAATTAAAACATGCAGCGGTGTCACCGAAGCATCTGAAGCCTCTTCCAACCCCGCCGCCGCACGACTATCGAGAGGTTGTTAATTATTTAGATTGGAGGTGTAACCATACATGTTTGGATATTTGCACTCGCTCGCGTTTTATTTGAATTCCCATCGGAGTGGAGGTGAGAGCTGTGTCGGCTCGGTGTCTTCCTTCACATTGGATTTTTCCCCCCCCTTTCTTAATCAGCTGGCGGAACAAATCTCACATTAAGATGTACTGTGTGTGTTTTAGGTGTCCGAAAAGCTGAGGCAGGACGAAGATGAATTTGGTTCAAACAGAGATTGATAATTGTGTGTTTGTTGGAACATGAACTACATGCTTATCAAGTTTATTATGTATATTTATCAGGTGCCATTATGCGTGCTTATGCCTGGGAAGACTTTAAAATGAGTTTGGTTTGACGCATAAATGACTCTGCAGTGTCTGGATTTAGAATATAAATTCCAGCTAAAACGTGAGCAGAATAGAAATAGCCAGGGTGCAGAAAAAATGAAAAATACAAGACTATTTTGTGAAAATTCTCTGCAGACATCTGCAATTAAAGAAAGTGAACATGCAGCAGCAGCTTAAAGGAAGCGTGTGTTGTCTCTCTCATTTAAACTTTTAATAAGTGCTTACCTTGTGCAGGCTGGGAAGGAGAGGAAAGGCTAAAGGTCTGCAGTCCTGGGCGCCGTTTCAGCCAAATGAACATTTCCCACTGCAGCCTCCTCTCTTCAGGTCATCCTCTTGCTCACATGTTGATTGTGTGGATGTGTATTGAGGCTGCAGACTTTGCGTATTCGCCTCCACAGCAGCCGGGGCTTATCCCCCTGTCAGCTGATTATTGCTCCGCGTTACCGACTCCATCAAAAGGTGACACTTGTGCAACAAAAGGGCCCCCAGCTTTTTTGTTTTTTTTACTTTTTTTTTTTTAAAGAGGAAAATAATTGTGCAGGGTCTGGGCGCAGGATGCGTACCGCAGCTCGGAAAATCAGTTGTATTCATCGATGTAAACATATAAGAATGCCTCTCTTGTGTTTGTTATTTAGCCGTTTTTGTACAAACAACAGTTAGACTAACTTTGATTTATTTCTCCTCATAATAGTCCCCCCTCGAGAGATGACCCCAAGGCCTCTTGCAGCATGACATCAGACCCTAAATCAGCTCTTTCACCGGGCGGCCACATTATTATTTTTTTCTTTCACATTCTAGTTCATTTTTATAATGATAAGTGATTTAATAATAAAATATAAACCCAAACGACTCACATGATCAAAATTCTGAGGCTGGAAAGTGCACGCAGCTCAAGCCTGCAAACCCAAAGGGGCACTATTTATTTGTGTCTTTTATTTCCTGCGGGGAGTGCTGCGGTTGTTTCCTCCCCGGTGCCTCGCAGTGCACGAAGCGAGCGCTCCGTCCCCCGCCTCCTTCAGCCAGCCTCGGCCCCGCATACCTCTGTGTTTGCTCAAGCTTGTGAATCCTAGTTTCCCCAGACCGTGCGTGCCTTTGTTTTTGTTTTTGTTTTTTTACTATAAAGCATGAGTGCCCAAAGAACACAACAATGCAAAGACAAACAAGATGCTTGTGTCGGCTGCACCAAGAGCACCAAGAGCAAGGCTTGCTTTAAAGTATATGAACAAAAAGACCTTTATGGTATTTGGATCTCACAGGTACATTGTATAGCTCATATTAATGAATCCACCAGTAAAATACGAATTTGGGATTTTTGGTAAAATCCCCCTTTAAAGCACTAATTGAATCAAATGATTGTATTTAAGAAATGTGTTTTCTATGAATCCCCTGCAGAGATTCTCTTCTGAGTTCAAACGCAGAGAGAAAAAAACAATCCCTAATGGACTGTTGTCACTGTTGTGTGGTCCAACTGCTGTTTGTTGATTCCCGTGTTATTTCAAGCACCAGTGACCGCAGCCGAGGCCCTTTGGCTGAGCAGGCAGACATGTATTCAGCAGTTAATCTGGCGGAGCATCTCTCTGCTATGTGTATTGGAGCGGCCCATTGTTTTCCTCTATAGATTAGGCGCACATAATCGAAAGGCTATAGACAGACTGTCATTGCTTTACACTCCACTAACAGACTACCAACACAAAGATTCAATAAAAGTCCCCCATCAGAATGTTTTTGAACAATATATTTACTTCCATTAAATAAAACACAATAGTTTTTTTGGATGTTGGAAAGAAAAAAAAAACATAATTCCGTACCAAATAGTATACACAGAGCAAAAACCAAATAATTTGTCGCAGGAACATTTTTGATGCTTCTTTTTTTTTCTTTTAAAATCCAGAATTGCTATTCTAAATCGATATTCACACAGACATTAATAATAAATTTATAATATGTTAGAAACACACAACTGGTGCGTTTTTAGTATGTACATTCCCTTTTTGTTTGCAAGCAAAACATGATTCCTTTTTAGGTTTTTTTTTTTTTTCTTTTCCACATGCGTTGATAAATTGAACCTGGAGAGGACTGGAGGGTTATAGCGCATTCGCCTCGACAAACAGGAGATGATAATTCAAATATATATACAACCTTTTCAGTCAACAATTAAAGTCCAAAAAAATCCACCAGAAAAAAAAAATCCCTCATGACGAGCTATGAAAAAGGAGACAGGCCCCCTTTTTTTAAAACTGTGGCGCAGTGTGTGATCAGGCCTGGACTCGTCAAAAGGGGAATAAACCTAAAATCTCCCGTTTCAGTTTGACTCCGACCTGGAGTTGAGCTTGCTTCAGTGGTTCAGTCTTCTAGTGCCCTTTTTTTTTGAAAAATGAAAAAGTAGTTGTAGTAGTCTCTTGTTCCTGTGGCCGGCTGCTTGTGATTACCCGCACACTGCAAAAAATGACCACCATAACAAGCCAGTTGGTCTTGTAATCACCCTCAAAATCATATTTCCCCCCCCCAACGAAATACATGTATCAACACGGTGCGATGGAATAATCTCACTGTTTTCTTACGTTTCAAGGTACAAGTGGCCATATCTTGAGGGGAAAAGTCCGAATGAACAACTAGTATCGAGAAGGTGCCACATGATCAAAACATTCCCTGAAAAAAGTACAATTATCTCACCGCCACATTTCCTCACTCCCTTTGGAGAGAAAACACCACTTTAGGCGCCACCACTATCCTCTAATGCCTTGCTAAGGTGGTTATTTTTTGCAGTGCAGGTAGGTATTAGACGGGTCTGTCCACGGCGTATTGGCATGCGCTCAGATTAGTGGCCGGATTCTGCACACTGGCGTATCCAAAACTCGAGTGCTGCTTGGCTTTCAGTCTCAGGCTGGCCAGGCTGGAGTTACAAGTGTCCCTGTACACGTAAGGAGGGGTCGGAGGCGCGTAGGGGCACGCCGACGTGGGCACCCCCGAGTTGAGGGACGGGTTACTGAGGTTGTTCAAGTTATTGAGGCTGTTGAGGCTGGAGCCCGGCACGCCGGTGACCGCCGATGGCACCATGCTGGAAGTCATGGAGGATATGGAGTTGGGCGGAGAGAACATGGTCTGCGAGGATAAGGGGTTGACGTTCATGGAGTTGAAGAAGGGGAAGCTTTTGGTGGATAAGGAGGCCGGCGTGAGGCCCTTGGCGGCCCAGTTGTTGTACGTGTAGCTGGGGTACATGTCCTCGTAGGGCTGCATGAGTCCGTTGAACTGCGGGCCGAAGCCGTTTTTGCAAAGCTCGGCTTGTTGGTTTCTTTCCCGTTTCCTCCACTTGGCTCGCCGGTTCTTGAACCAAACCTAGAGCAAATGAAACGAGAGCAGGTTAAAGATTATTTTTGAGTTCAACTTAATCTTTTACAGCTTGTATATTTCATACAATGGCTAATCCGGGCAGAGTTCCACATTTTAACACCAGGCACACCATCTTTAATTTTGTGTTATTGGTGCCATTTAAAAAAAAAAAATCTATATATTTTAACAACAATTTTAACTGTCTGTAAATCCAAACTCTCTCATTAATCTTCGCTTTCCCGAGCAGACAATCCCGCTTTGATTCTGTGTGTATCTGTGCAGAATACACACTGGGCTGTCACTGCACCGAGGATGTGTATTCCTCTGCAGGCTTCCACAAACACGCTGACCTTAATCACACAGCAGCAGGGCGACAATCGCAAAATACAAGCTTTGCACCTCTTTCACACGAACAGGAGAAACACGACTGGTATCTGCCACCGACACATGGCAATAGCCTCGAGTGTTAACAACGTAATAATGTGCAATTACACGGCAAACAGGCAAATAACAAATAGTTAGTTTTCGTCCTGTTTTATTACAAAATGGCTGAAGAGGTTAAAATGCGCCGAGAACCACAGATGAACTGCAGTAGTTTGTTTTGCATTGTGTGCAGAGGATTGAATTATATTTAGCCTAATAGATAAACACTTACAATCTAATTAAATAAGGGCTGGGCCAACAGTGTATTTAAACAAAGACTCTGGTTATTTGTTTTCCAGCTACAAACTTTTGTCCTACATTATTTTAAAAGAAATGTTCAGCCGTGCGTAAAGTTTGGCGTCCAGTGCGTAATAATATTAAGGTACAGGGCATTTGTAGGTTAAGCGGACAATTGGCACACAAATTTCGAATTGTTTTTGTTTGCACCCAAGGGAACACTCACCCTGACCCGAGCCTCTGTGAGGTTGGTCCACACGGCTATCTCCTCCCTTGTGCTCATGTCCGGATAGCGATTCCGCTGGAAGGTGGCCTCCAGCTCCTGCAGCTGCTGGCTGGTGAAGTGAGTCCTCTGCCGCCGCTGCCGCTTCTTTTTGGAAGGGTCGTCTGAAGAGTCGTCGTTTTTGTTTTGGATCTTTTCTTTTTCTGTCAAGGGGGAAAGAAGTTGATTCAGTCAGGCTCAGGCGGATTAAGGCCTGCATGCTATGGAGAGAGAACAAAAAAAAAAACCTAAATCCATGACACTGTTGGGAAATGGATGAGCTGTTCACTGACTTCACGGGGGAGAAATGCTCCGAGTCGTGAAATCAAACTAATTGCTTCCCCCCCCTTCATGATTTGAATTCTGCGTTTTACTTTTTTTTATTTTGTGAGATTTTAGTTGACCTTTTGATTTAATCGGAGTGTGTAAGTAAATACCGGACTAATTTCAGTTGACACGAGAAGAGCTGTCTGTCATTTACATAACACAGAAACTTTTCACTACGCCTCACACAGGCCAGTGTCAAAACTAATCCTCTGTGAGTAAAATGAGAGCTGTAATCGTCTATTTGCGTGCATGAAAAAAAAAAAAAAAAACTCCCTTTACGCCCATTAATTGGAGCCGTCGTTTGTTTAATATCAAGACGACATCTGCGGCGCCTTGCTGAGAACATCTGCACCCCGGGCGGTTCTTACCGACAGACTCCGGGCTGGATGTGTCCGACACCGTGTGCACCTCTAACCGGTGTTTAGAGTCCACAGACCGCTGCAGCGGTTGTAAACTAGAGGCCATCGCCAGAGCCGTGTGGTGTGTGGAGGCAAGTTTATTCCCTGTTAGGTGGAGATGTTCTATGTTTAATGGATCCCTCATAGAGTTCATCGGTAAAAGATCGCAAAGCTGGCTGTCAAAAGCAGGTTAAGTCCCCCTTTAGTACAACAAGGATGAGCGGAAAGTCCGGAATGTGTTCAGTTCTCCAAAAAACGCACAGCAGAGCGGTTCCTGTTGCGGCTGAGATGAAGCCCTCTTTCTCTTTTAACTGGCAAATGCTTTAAAATGGACCACTGAGTGCTGCCATACTAGCACCGGTGGTTAACAGCGGCTACCTCGGCTGACTATCAGAGTGACAAGGACAGGTAGGTGATATTAGATCCAGAGGCACACACACACCACACCGCTCATTTCAGCTGTTGCCTGCGCACTGCCTATCCAACTGCGCCTCTCTCTAGACCTCCACGTCACCAAATTGCGCCCGCCCATATTCTCTCTGACAGGCACATCCATGTGGATATGACGGTAGGCCCAACCAACCGGAGCTTGCAGAAACGAGATATGTGCGCCGATGTGTTTATGCCGGGGCTGGCGCTTATTTTTTCTCTTCCAAATAAAAGCATGTAAAGAGAGATGGGACGCACGGTGTACCCGCGGCGCTCCGAGGTGCCGTTGCGCAGCAGCCCAAGACCAAATAAAAATGAAAATAACACAGTTTGGCCTCATTTTATGAGATGGGTCCAGTGGCCCAGTAAAACGATGCCGTTCTATTGATACCCGCGCTGAGCTGCATGCTCGCAGTCTCTGTCACCGCAGTTTACTCAGGGACTCAATGTGGATAAAGCGAGCCAGCGGGCGGATTGTATTAAAAGCCGTATGAAAAAATAATATACACACTGCAAACACAACAACCTACTACAGCACAATGGCCCTGTGAAAGGAGACGCGCATTAAACGGGGAATAAATAAATGTAACTTCAAAAGAAAGGATGTCCCAGCCTGCTCCAAAACTGTCTGTGCGCACTTGTCAACTGACGCTAACTGCCAGACATGTACAGGATGTTAAAATGAGCACACGTACAGCTGGTACAGCTCATGCACGCGTGCTGCATCGGGATGCAGAACTTTAGTATCATGTACACATGCAAAGGGAGTGAAGTAACGGCAAGTAAGAGATGGTAAAATGACTCAAACAACAGCTTGTTAAGCATTTCCCATCAGAAGCTCTAATCCTCATGCATCTTTATATTTATAGTGCATTTCCATCATACGGACCCCAGAAACGGGACCAAACTGGCCCTAAGGTGGTTTACTGTTCACTACATCCCTGTATGCAGCCTATATGCTCAGGAACAGCACTGTCAGTCACACGAGTCGTCAAATGAGGCGATCCTCTTGATCTCCACAGAGTTCAAATATCCATTAAATCAACCCCACCGGAGCCACAGTTAACCACGCACACTCAGTTTGTTGACGACGGATTACTTTATCTGGGTGCTTAACTGGATATCTCTCCTCACTTTGCGTTTGGACCCCTCAGTCGTTCTCAGCCAGCACTCCTGTAGTGTTTTTTTTAATCTGATAAGACTCTCATTTGCCTAAGAATTTCTGAAGGAGGACTTTTAATGAGTTTGAGCTGATATGCCAGCATTTTTTTTTTCTTGCCTATAATTCCCCAAAGATTGAGACGCGTTAAGGCAAAGTAAACATGTCTAATCAAACAAATGCGACTTTAATTTTCAAGGTGGGAGATTGAGGGTGGAGAAATGTCAGCTGGGTAACAGGTGATTGCAGTGATGGAGTTATTACAGAGGGGAGGGAACCTGAAAAATGACTTCAAATGTTCATGACATTCTGGTCATTTTTTTATTTTATTTTATTTTTTTACCCTTTTCTCATTTCACAAAATAATTGCATCATCATCACCATCATCATCATCATCATCATCATCATCATCATCAAATAACACACTTCCCATGTCCACGTGGCCAGGCGGACGCCCATTCAAGCCAGCACATTTGGACTTGGCGATGTTAAGAAGTTACTGGGCTAATCCCGTGAAAGCCCCTGATATATAAATACCAGCAGACCATAGAGTGTATGCAACACACACACACACACTGAGGGAGGGATGAGACTTTATCAAAACTAGGCGGCCAATCGCCTCTCATACAGAGCAATAAAACCTTGTTTGGATGGTCTCTGAGTAATTCAATTAGGATGATGCATGTTTCAAGTTAGTATCATTCATGTATTATTTCACAGTAATGGATTTATTTGTATTAATACATTATATTTCAGGGGTAAACAATACAATCTCGCCCTTACATTTCCAAACATTTACTAAAAGCCAATTTTAAATTAAAATTTGATATATTATTATATATAATTATACTTTTTAGGTTTATTTTAATGGATAGAATAATAATTAAAATAAGAGCATTAGATTAACTTGATTCCAGGAATACAAGTTTTATATTTCCGAATTCGGTACTATTTTATTAAAGATAACAATAATAACGCAACAATAATCGTTTCCATGTTTGTTGCTCTTTTTTTTCTTCTTCGTCCAGTTGTATTGCACTAATACTAAACTTGAAGTGGATTATCGGTTTCCTCTTCATTTCTACCTTCTGAATGCTTTATCTCTCTTCTGCGGATTACTGCGCGCAATAGGCCTCCGCTATAGAGGGCCATTAATTAGCAATTCAGTCAATATAGGGGGAGACGACAAGGCTTTTTACATAGGATTAAGGAGACATCAGATTCCTCTATTAGTATATTCCTCCTCACGAATGGGCTTTCATTATACATTGAGTTTTCCCCGGAGCCAACCCAACAAGCGCCGCATATATTACAGCGAACAGTTGAACGCCGCTGTGTCTATATCTTATTATCTTATTATTCTTAATCAATGGTCGTTCACACTGCTGCAGCTACGGGGCTGTGAGCAGCCTGCCCTCTGCCACACAGCCCCGTCAATGTCGGCTAAACGAAACACAATGAGAGTTATTGGTAATTCGTTTAAGACCCTAACAAGACCTGATGTCATTTCCCCAGCACATTGGAGAATAATTAATAAATCCCAGACTTTGTCGAGCAAGGGATTTCTAGCTTTTGTTTAGTCCCTTGTTGGATTTTATTCCTAGATGCTATTTAGGAAAACATGTCGCCGTTAATGCGAATAGAATCATAAAAGTGTAAAACCACATTTCAGAAAACGGCCTCACAGTGCCAAAGGCCAGGACGGGGGACATTAAAGGGGACAGAAAGATGCGCCAGTGGGCATATATGTCCGTCTTTTAATTGCAGCAAATAACGCCGCTGCAGAGCTGTCATCCCTGTCTAACCCTGCTCTGATGCTCTGCCTGCAGCTGCACACCCACGTCCGACCACCAGGTGTCGCTCTAAGACGGCAAACGACCCGGATCCACCAACAACCTCCCCGCACCGACCAGCACAGAGGCCAACATGTCTGTGGACATTCTTTAACAGACCCAGTGACATCCGCTAAAATACAGCTAAAGCAGGTTTTTACCTCCACATTAAAGAGTCTGGTGAGCAGAAACGATGAGATAATTTCATGAGAAATCCATCTGAACTGAACCGATATTTTCTAGAGAAATCAACCTCATTTTACCTTTTGATTAAAGATTTGTTTTTTTTTTTGGAACTTTTTACTAAAACTAAACTATTAGCTGGAAACAACTGTATCACTAAGTATAGCGCCAGGAAGGTTCACTTATTTTAAACAAACTCAAGCTCAAGACATCAGTGTGTCTACAGATTGGGCCACTTCTATAATAACAAAGCAGTAAATAAAAAATAAATGACCTGTAATGAATAACTGTTCTATTTGTAAAGCAACACACACCATAAACTCTTAGCACAATTGTGAAGAAGGCCGTTTTTATGTAAATAAAATCAAATAAAGATATAATATATATTTTTATGTAGGCCTACAATTAAAGTTCAATTAGCCTACAGATGTACAATTATTGTGTCATATAAAATCTCCAAACATCAGGTTTTATCATTATTATGTCTGTGAGAACTGCACTCTGTTGACTCATATGGATCAGATACTCACCTATTTGCGCGCAGGTGGTGGCCAGTTTGCGGCAGTGGGAGTCCATTATGGCAATTTAAGGAAACCGCTTCTGTAAAAACAGACAAAGGAGCCATAATTAGCCTTTAATACCGGTAAACAACCCGCTGTGTTGGTCACTGACACACTATTCTACTTCTGCACTCAGTAATGTGTGGAGTCAACGTAAGACCAAAAAGAATAGTGGTGTGCTCAAAGGATAAGTATTGGATTACAAGAAAAAATGCTGGTGGTCTTATATTTTGAATTGATGCAAAATTCAGACATGTAGAGTGTAAGAGCATGCGCAGTGCTGATGTTATATATATATATAGTGTATTCATGAAAATACAGCAGCAGCGGTGCACTCTAATTACTGGCTGCAAAAATGTTCTAATTCTATTATTGTCTTATTCCTAATTAGATTTTTTTTGTCAGCAGAATATAAGCGTCCATACGCTGAGCAGGAAGTTACATAATTATTGTATAATTATTGTATTACAAGAAAACCTCACTTGATTGAAATAAATAATAGAAACAAGATGGTTTGCGTTGGAGAAAATGAACAACCATCACCCTGCCTTTTTTTTTCTCTTGATTTAAAACAAACTAGAGTCCAAAACTCAATTTTAGCGCACGTCCTGTATTATATTATATATTTTCCCCGGTGTAATTTGTGTACAGTCTGAATATATAAAAGCCGCCGTGTTTTGCATGAGCCGGATCTTGTGTTGTGCTGCAGGCTGCAGCAGCAGTTGGAAGTGGAGTGATTCCGTAGTAAAATCACGGGATTAGAGTCTGATTGAGATGTCTGTCGGTGGGATATTACAAAATTCATTATCGCAGCCCTCATACTACCTCGATGTGAAGTTACACAGATGGGGTTTTATTAGTCCAGGCTCACACTGTTTGCTTATGATAATTCAAGTCGGAGGGAATTTGCATGCAGTCATGCTGTTAACCATTTTCCTCAGTTCTTCCCTTCACCTGCTCTACATCATCTGTGGGTTTTTTTTCCCCTTCTCTTTAATTCAAAAGATGAAGATATTGGAGGTTAAGTTTTACGATGTGTACCTGCACAACCTTTCTTCTCACCCCTCCCTTGTATCCCCACAGCAAAATGAAATAGTGGGGGTCAGGCTATAAGGTGTAAGGTTATTGCACGCGGCTGCGTGTTATCTAATCAGTGAGATTTAATGAGGGCTACCTCCAATATTTCTGCCTGCTCCGCGGCCTCTCAAACACACAGCCGCTCTTATTTATGCATTTAACTGTATTTCATTTCATTGTGTAGAAAATATGGACATCATTTCTACACTGAAGGATTCGTTTGAATCTATTTTTTTTTCTCTTTTTATTGGAGACTTCACGTATCAGGGCACGTATTCCCTTAACAATTAAAAATATATATATAGAAATAGAAAAGGCCTAGATAAATAAAAAAGTGTAAAAAAGTGATACATTTATTGTCTTATAGGCAAAGAAAATCGATATTATTGCGCTAATTTGAAAACACATATGGGGCAAAAAGTTTACCTAACAAAGTAAATGTCTTAACATATAATAATGAAGTTTATAATAATAATAATAATTATAATAATTACAACAATAATATTTTTTTTTTGTAAATGCGTTTTAAATCCTGCAATAAATATTTATTTCTATTTTTTTTCCAACATATGCCCCAGTGTAGACCTAATAGGAGCGGGTTAAAAATATATCTGCATTAATAATACGATTACTTATATTAATCCCGTTCATCCATTCATTCTCACTTCACGGCTGCACTGTGCTCTCACCACCAACAGTTGATGTGAATCAGTGACTCACATGGCATCAGGCCCAGTGCAGACAGAAAGCTGGCATTGCCTCACACTGGCTTTACTTCTGAAATTAACACAGTAGAGCATGAGACTGCAGCCTTTACCGGGAGATGAATCGACTAACCTCCACCATATGGTCCTGTATTAATTAAAGGCGTGAGACCGTAAACGTCGCATCTTTTCCCCTAAATTTTCTCTCTCTCACTTACTGTGTTGGAAAAGGGATGCAGAAGAGGGTAAAACTCCCATTACTCCCTCGTTATTAACAGCGTTAGTTGTAAATCGCTCAGGAGGGTTAACCCATTTCAACTTTACGAGAGTTTAGACGCGTTGTTTGTTGGCTTTACGCACAGTTTTACGCATTTTATTGGAATTTGCGTTGACTTTTAAGCTCAAACCATCAGTTTGGCGCAGCGCACCGCCAAGCTGCGGGATCTGACAGTGACATACAGAAAATGTCTAGTTTTTTCCAGGTTCTTGAATCGAAATTTAACAGTTTTGTTGCAGTGGTAACTACACTTCCCTCTATCTGCAGGACAGTTCGGTTTTCTTTTTATTCCCCCACTCCATCACCGCTAATGATACATCATTATCATCCGCCGACCTGCGGGGCGAACCCTGCCCTCACATCACTTCACGCTCTTTTACGCCACGGCTTTGAGATTCCCATCAGAACCGCACAGAGCAGGCACAACACACACGAGGTGGAACAAATCCCCTCACTTGCATTAACTCACATCTCCCTTTTTGTTATTATTCCCAGTGCCGCTACGACTCTGCTGCACTTACCAGTTGTTGACACCGGTGGGGTTTGTGTGTGTGTGTGTTTTTTTTTTTCTTTTCTTTCCCAGCCGTCGGCGTTGTTACTCTACAGTGAAGAGATAAATCCCACCGTCCACACGCTCTCAGACACCAGCAGTGGAGCTCGGAGCGAAAATTCAGACAACTTCAAGGTCCAGTAAGGCTGAACTTTCTGTCCGGAAACGCGAGCGTCGCTTGGATGGTGACTCCCCCCGGCTATGTTATCCAAAAAAGAGTGGCGGCGCTACGTTTAGGTTACTTTCATTTATGCGCATAAATAACCATCTATTTACAGTGCGAGGAGAGGAACAGCGAAGGAGGCGCTTTCATCCGAGTCTCCCCTTGGTTCGTCCTCTTCTGTCTTCCTCAACTTTTTCCCCCTTGAAAGACGCTCCAAGAGTGGCGCATTTTTTCCTCCTTCTTTTGAGCTCAGAGAGGGACCCCGCGCGCGCGTGTGTGTGTGTGTGTGTGCGCTTTTAAAGGGGTGTGTTTGTGTATGTATGCGCCTGTGCCTGTGTAGAGTCTAGCAGAGGGCAAACTTAGAGCCTCTCAACTTTCAACAACAATCAAACAAGAGTTCAGGATGGCAGCTTTAAAAAGCACAGGCGTGTTTTAAATATATATATATAAAATAAAACCCTGATATTCCTGTTAGCCCGCCCTGGTGCGATTACTGTAACACTGCACCGTTTGAGGCGCAGGCATGCATAATGGTTCAATTTGCCTAAACCCAACCTGCAATTTACAACAAGCAACTCAACTGCTTATTATCCAAACTCTGCGCGCGCAAAATAAACAACAGTCATAACCGCGGATTCATGACTAAATCCACTCACTGGCAGTTGATTTCAAGAAATAGTAGGCCACAGATGCTGATTCCTATTATGTCACCAGGACATTAGAGCCTAATTAACGCCCAGTTAAGCTCACTGTGTGACCAACTGTGCGCGCTGATTCTGAAATAATTTAACACGTTTTAAAAAAACAACAACAACACAATATTGAGAATATTCCGAGGTGGATGGAAAACGGAGGAGTATTTAAAAGGGCTGCATTAGGCTCATTCGGGGCCAGACAGAGTCCGTATCGTGTTGCGGATTTATGTGCAGATGAAGTGAACAGCTGGCTCAGATGCAAATGTTCTTTATAGATCCGTTTCGTTAGATACAGGCTGATTTTTTTTCCATTCGCATCTTAAGTGAGATCGAGCAGACCGGACGTAGGCCCGCGTTCCCCGCGCCTAATCCTTCTTTTACATTTTCAGTCATACTCGCATTAAACCAGTAATTAATGCGCACATCCACACGGGAATTTCCTGGCAAAAGGGGACACTGAAGCAAAACGTGCGCATCATATCCCCCCCACCCCTCCTCCTCCTCCTTTCCCCCCACCACCACCACCACCACCACCACCAACCCCCAAAACCCAAAATTTGGTGAATCAGGAATGGTCCTGATATTCCAAACACATATGTAATATAATAAATGCTTACTGCAGCCTTATGCAGTCTTATGAATGTGCAATTATAAGAGTTAGGGTTAGGTATTTTTAACATCTGCTCAGATCAAGTTTATTTATTAAAGACATTAAATATAGCACATCAGTTCCTCGTAGTCCTCTCCAAAGGCCCAAGAAGGCCACATTTTATTCATTTTCCACTCGCCTAAACACACGTACAGACAGTGCGCTGGGTCAAATGCAAACCAATATTAAAGGAGAAATAAATAAAATGTGCCTATTCGCAAACACAGCTCGCTTAGTTCTTCTTCTTCTTCTTCTTCTTCTTCAAAAAAAATAATAATAAAAGTGACCCGTGCCCTTTAATATTAGATGCTGTGATGTGGCACACGCACAAACATTCACAAACATGTCCACGCACACAATAAATGCAAGCAAACGACCCCAGTAGCCCGGGCAGAACACATCGACCCTGCACCATGCACATCTTCAAATCAGCCCCGCCTGCACGGGGAGGAAGAGAGGGTGAGCTGCGTCTGGAGAGGCATGATGCTCCGGCTATATATTCTCCTCTTACCTTCTTATACAAAGGGAGGGTGAAAAAAAATCAGTCCTCTTTCTCACGCAGAAAGGTGCAGAGGAATGCCTGAAGTTCAGAGAAGGCTGGCGGGTATGAAATCTTTCGCCTCGGGGGCAAACCGGCGGCTTCTTTTCATTTCAAGCACTTATCGATTCGCCGTTGTCATCTTTGGCGACGCAGAAGGACACTTGAAAGAATTTCTGATGGGGCTGTGATGTGAGAAACGGGGTGACCTGCTCTGCTGATGCTCTCTCCTGATTCTTAACGAGCACATCAGTCCCCGAAGCGTCAGTACAGTTGGACATTTCAACTTTTCCTCCTCCTGCATACTGGAGAGGACTTTAAAACACTCTTTTCCGGCTTTCGCATGTGTATCAGCAGGCACCCAAGCCTCCACTTTAAAGAGGGGAGATGATAGACTGCCCTGCAAGTCAGCCACAACAGACACACACAGTCAGGCCAGTGTTTTTGGCTCCTTTTAATAAATGTGTGAACTTCTTATTTTGAAGGTTTATTTTGAATGAATTGTCAGCTTTTTTGCTCTGGATTTTCACTGTGATTGATTCCAACTCTTGAACCTCAGAGCAGCTCAGACTTCAGATTGTCTAAGAACAAATTGTGCACATAATGTGATGCATTAAACACAACATATTTCCTCCTTGGAACCAATATTTAGATCTGTAAGGCCTGATATGATTATTTAAAGTAACTAAATATCCATTTTTATAAAGCCAAATCACTGAAAATATGCACAAGCATGACAACCAGATATGCACACTGCAAAATACATCTCCACAAATAAAGACTACTTGTTATATGGGCTCTATTCTGTGCCAAATTGCACTTACAAACGTATTAGTCTTATTGTGAAATTAGGCCTCAATTTATTTCAAGACATATAGAATAAATGGTTTACTATGAACAATGTCTTGTCTTCTTGCATCCACAACCCTTGCATCCTTCTCATGCCATGAGGAATCAATTAAATTACAGTTAAATCATTGTCTCTGATTTCTCCCCTCACCTCACACCATGACGTTTGAATGAATTCCTACAGGCCGTCATTAAAAGTGAATCTAAACCTTTTTCCCACAGCGTTCTGTGAAATGTAAAAGTCCTTGCGTTACACACTGTCATCATTCTGTTGCACCGGGAAGCTTGAGTAATGCGGATGTGAAGTGGTTCCATTATTCAGGGGTGAAACCAGCCTGAGTTTCTCCTTTTTTTTTCTTCTTCAGTTTTAGCCTCAAACCACATGCGATTGTCGCCTAGTGTTCTGTCTGGCCAACACTCTGTGGCCATGTAATAAAATTTGGAGTCAAATTGGTGTTTCCAAAGCCACAAATCTTTAAACAAATCAGTTTATGTACTGCTAATATGTTAGAAATAAAGTAATGGCTGGGAATTTAGTTTTATTGTGGGGTGTGACTTCTCTATGATTTGAAAGGAGGATGAATATGGAGAGAGAAAGAGGAGGGGAGGAAGGTAGAGAAGAGGAGTCGGGGGGGCGGGGATAGAAAAGACAAAACATTAGATGAGTCTCCTTCGAGACAGAAATATCCTGTGTGTATTTCCATTTGTCAAGTATCACTCCAAGAACGTTATTAGCGAAAAAGCTGCCTGTAAATTAACCAAATTAAAAGGGTGGCTCTTTGATAGCTCTTGAGCTTGTTGAGCGGCTTTATGCCTGATCCTTACTATTCCAGCTCTGTCACAGTACCAAAGGGAGACGAGCTACACCAACGCTAAGCACTCCAACTCAGCAACATGGCTTGTGGTTTAGAATGTTATATACGCAAGGCCAGTAAATGACTTACATGATGGGCTGCCCTCACTTCCCCCGACATGCCCAGCTAACATGGTGTATATTTAAAAAGTACTCAGCTCTTCGTCTTTGTCTTCTTCTGTAATTATCCTATCCTCGGCTTCCAAAGAAAATGCTTAGCTGATGTCATTGTGGTTTTGGCCCCCCGACTGCTCTAATATTAATCCCATGCATGAAGCGGCTTCAAATGAATAAGGATTACTTTGAATTAAACTCTGGTCCATGTTTTTATGTGAACACATTAACTCCTGTCATTGCTGGTCAGTCAGACGAGCCTGTTTCCATTCCTCTTGACTTTGGACATGACATGGCTTTGGTCGAGCATGATTAGAAATGTCCCCGAGACTTGGATGGCATTCATTAGACTGACAGCCACAGACCGACAGCACAGCAGCGCTTTTATGGCCACGCGGTTGATCTTTGGGAAAGTAATAGTCGGTGCATGCATAAACACATGCGGCCTCAGCCTTAATCACAGGTGCGAGCGGGCCAATAAATTGCTCAAGCAGGTCTCTGATCAATTACGTGAAAAATCAATGGGAAGCTGCCACTAACCTGCCTAAGGGGAAATCGGCCAAGAATGAAATTGGTGTGATAAAATGACTATGATGCCTCCCACCCCGTCGATAACATGTAAAACAGTTCTGCTACATGCTAACTCTCCTGTCAGCAGACCTGAGGTGGACCCAAAGGTCACAACTGGAATCAGCTTAGTCCTAATTGGTCTACTGTGGCAGAGAGAGACGGGGCATGAGGAGGAGAAGGAAGGGAAGTAGCTGGAGAGATATAGAGGCTGATTCAGACAGTGGTGCGTAGGATGGGTGTGTAAAATAAACCTGCAGAATGATATACATACACAAGTGGTATGGAAAGAATGAATTAAGGAAGGGTTAGGAGAGGGACAGATGGATTCTGGCCATGTTCACAATAATTTGGATACATTTCTCAGTCTCAGTTCTGACACCATCCATCGTAAGGTTGAAAATGGAGTGTTAAAGTTCAGCCGAGTATTACCAAATGGTGTATGACGCGCCGATGTAATTTCTCATGTTATCACAATACCTTTTTTTCTTATTTGCAGTAAGTGTTTGTCCATTCTGAGCTACTGTAGAAACGGTGGCGGTTCAACATGGTGGAAGAGAGGAAAAATGTCTCATTCTAAGGTAACGAAAACACAATTCTTATTTTCGGGGGCTCATACAATAATGAATATTATATTCCATTTCAGCCAGTAAATCCTCCTAAATGTTACACACTGGACCTTAAGCGTGATTTTCATGTGACCCATATTTGGGAATCTTGACTTGCTGTCTCTGCTGCTGTGCAAACCGGTAATAATTGAACAATTTGAACATGACGGAAGGCTGCTATAAAGGAATGGTATAAAATCGGTGCAAAGCTGTAGCCTTGTTCCAGGCCTCCGAATGCTGCCCACATCTCTGAATCAAATAAGTCTGGTGGCTCTCACTACCTCTCATTACCATGTTTGCAACTTGCAAGTTAAATGTAGGTTTGATTAAGTTAAACGACAGACTTGACTGACCTAAGACATCCTTATTTGTTTGGTCTTCAATCACTTTCACATTAAGCATCAGGTCAGACATA